AAATGCCAGAAATTGGACAGCTTAAACAAACAATAGAAATTTATTTCTCATGGTTCTGGAGGCTGGGGAGTCCAAGATCAAGGTGTGTAGATTGAGTCTGGTGAAGGCCCACTTCCAGATTCATAGACTACTATCCTCTTACTGTGTCCCCACAAGGTGGAAAGAGACTGAGGGCCCTTCTGGGCCTCTGTTACAAGGGCACTAATCCCATTTGAGAGGGTTCTGCTCCCATGAGCTAATCACCTCCAAAAGGATCCAACTTTTAATGCCATCACCATGGAAGTTAGAATTTCAACACACAAATTTGGAGGAATACAAAATTCAATCTGTAGCAAAGTGCTGCAGGTACATGGTGCTCCAAGAACAGAAACCGGGGAGTTGTCTGAGGAATCAAACCCAAAATTTGTGCACTGGGTCACCACCAGGGCATGATTTGATATACATACTAGATAGGAGAGCCAGTGCTGCTCAGTACTGTCTGTCACTCTCCCCAGAGCATATTACAAACCTGTGTCACCTCCAGTAAGCCTCCCACAGCCCCACAGCCACAGTCCAGGTGCAGATCTGAGTCTGTTGCATTCCACTTCCCCTCAGGGTCTTCCTCTTGGCCCACTGGTTTTCCTTCTCTCATTTAAAGAACAGGAGTCAAATGGCACACAATACCCCCTTTAGCAATGCTGGAAGCTAAAATCAAGCCATGCAAGTGCCAATAATCTGTGCCCAGTCAAGTGGGAGAGTACAGACTTTTCAGACAGTGTTCTTCAGAGAATTGGCTCACACAATGGTGGAGACTGAGAAATACCAAGATCTGCGGTTGGTAAGTGGAGACCCAGAAGAGCCAGTGTCTAGTTATACTTCAAGTGTGAGGGCTGAGAACCTGCAGAGTCAAAACTCTAGTGTGAAAGATGGCAAATTCAAGGACCAAGAAAAAACAAAAAAGTTTCAGTTCATGAAAGACTATGTTTCAGCTTGGTCAGCAGGAGAGGTTCTTCCTCTGCCTGTTTGTTCCATTCAGGTCTTCAGTTGATTGGTGAGGCCCACTCACATTAGGGGAAACAATCCATTTTACTCAATCTTCTGATTAAATTGTTAATCTAATCCAGAAACCCTCTCAAAGTCACTCCTAGAATAATGTTTGGCCAGATGTCTGGGCACCCCATGGCCCAATCCAGTTGATACATAAAATTAATCATCACATAGTTCCTAAAACCAGATTCGTTTTCTTAATAAGAGCACTAAAGAAGTCAGCTACTTAGAGGGCTGAGGCAGGAAGATTGATGGGTTCAACCCCAGCCGGCCACACAGCAAGACCCCATCAGAAGAAGGAAGAGTAGGAAGAAAAGAAGGAGTAGTAGGAGGAAAAGGAGGAGGAGAAGGAGGAAAAGGAGGAGGAGAAGGAGGAAAATCTACTTCCCAATAGATAACCAGTGGTAGCTCCAGCATTATTCTCAGCAGCTTAGCCCCCAAATGTCCACATTTCCAAATGGGCCGCCAATGGCCCTACTCTACAGACTCATTGAATGTGCCAGTTATTTATCCATTGCCTCTTGATTTGGCTTCCTGCTCTCCTCAATATGGCAGGAGACTGGAAGACTGCAAACTACATTTCCAGGACTCCCTGGCTAGCTGACTCCTGGCTAGATTCTGAGAGATCAGAAGTCTGGTTGGGACTTAGGACAATTCTTGCTTCTGGTGGCACCTTCAGTGATGGCTGGTGAGTGTGGGCTTCTAGGTTCTTGCTTCATTTTCCCATTTCCAACCATGCTGCCGCCGCTCCCAACATACAGCAATTTCTTGAATAGCTCTGTGACTCCCTACAGTATCACTTTTCCTCTTTGCTCCTCTTGTCCTAGGGATACTAATTTCCAGTATTCTCATCTTCCCCTTGGTAGTACTGCAACCCTTTTAACATATTTTTAGCCATCTGTGTTCAGTGTTCTGTGTAATTATTTAAGAGTTCTTCTGTTTTCTAGGCTCAGCCAGACTGAGGTTCCACTACCTGGTGGCTCCAGGTAGAAGATTCCAACAAGCCTGCTATTACTTTAGACACCAGTTGCAAGTGCCCAGTCCACTCTTAACCATCTGGCTGCATATTTGGAAGTTCCCATGACCAACTCAGGTTTAATAATTCACTAGAGCAACACACAGAACTCAGAAAAGCACAATGTTATGATTATAGTTTTACTTTAAAGAATATAAACCAGTACCAGCCATGGTCTATGAGGTGACCTATAAGGCAAGGTCTGGAAGGGACCTGAATATAGTGCTTCCATATTCTCACCCTCTGGCACATTGCTGTTGACCACCAGCCAGGAATCTTGACCTCCAGAATTTTGTTTTGTTTTGTTTTGTTTGTGTGGGTGGGAGATTTCATTATCTAGGCATATGCATTGAATCATTGGCCACATGATTAAAGTAAAATGTCAGTCCCAATTTCTCACCAGGGGTCAGGTTGATATCACACAGCTCAACACCTCAACCTCTAACATGAAAGACAGAGTGTCTTTCTGGTGTGATTGATCCTGAAGTTACCTAAAGGCCTGCTAGGGGTCGCCTCTTTGGCATAAAGCTCATCCCCAAGAACAGAGGGTAACGACAAACAAATTCTTTATTATACAACAGCAGGAGGAGAGGGAAAGTGTGCCCATGGATATGTGGTTTAGATTTGTCTTCAGCTTCTAATGGATACTGTCTAAGATGGAAAAAAATCAAGTAATAACATTATAAGCATGTTATTTAAAAACACGGCAGAAGCACAGGAAAAATGGAAATGGAAGCAGAAGGGAGGAGAGGTTTATGTTGCTGTTGCTAAAAGCCTTATAGAATTGTTGGACTTATTCAACTAGGTATGTATATCACCTTTGATAAAAAGTAAAGAAACAAAAAAGAAGAAAAATGTGGCTGTTGGGTCAGGTGCTCAGGAATGGACAGGAGAAATACTCACAGAGAGAAAATGGTTGTTGCTTCCTTCTGACCCCCTTACTGCATGTTATAATTATGCAGAGGTGAACATGAACCTTCAGAAGGACGCAGTCCACAGAGAAGGGGTAGACCAACCAAGAGGAGGAGAGAACCAGGTGTTTTTCTTTCAGCAGTCCAGTAGAAGGTCAGTGTAGCCTAGAGGAACTCTAGACAGGAGAAGATGAGGGATTTAGACATGGAGGTTACAGGGAGGTGTCTGGGTGGAGTGATGGGGCAGAGGAGAAGGAGGAATGGTCAGAGAAGAGATAGGTGGGGTTTCATGATTGAAGATGGGAGAGCCCTGACGATGTGAAAATGCTATTGGAAAGAATCCAGCAGAGGGAGAGGCTTAAAGATAGGAGGAGTGGGGTGGTCCTGGGGAATCTGCAGTCTCCTAGGCAGAGGAGGAAGCAGACAGCTCTGCCTTCCCTCACCCTGGACCCTCCCAGGGGAGGGAAGTGTGCAACCACCCTTTATCCACATCCTCCTTGTTGACTCACTTGTGCTTGCACCTCTGGCTGACAGGTATTACCCTGTCTCAAATTATCTAGTTGCACGAGGTCCCCATAAGGCAGGTTATTGTGCCTTGGAAGCCAGGTTCTTATTGCTGCACTTGTTCCCCCAATGAATCCAATGTGAGCCTCTGTCCTCTGGAGCTGTGAGCACAAGGTTTTCAGGCAAGAGCCACTGGACAAACCCCAAACTCCCATGCCTGTGGGTACCGGGAAGAATCCACATGTGCAATAGTGTTGTAAGTAGGGAGCCAGGAAGGTAGGCAGGACTATGACTCCAAGACAGCCCTTGACTCTCCAGTGAGGCATTCCCACTCCACTCCAGGAAAGGCTTTCCGTTACCAGCTCTTTGGGTTCTTCTAGAGAATGTGAGCAGCACAATCTTCAAGTGAATTCTCTAGATTGGAGAGGTCTGTATTCTGAGGACAGGAAAATAAAGTGAGGGGATATGGAGATGATCAGGTCAGGACTCCCTGTGAGGAGACCCATAACCCACAGAGGAAGCAGCCTGGCATGACAGAAAAGAAAAAGAAGCCACAAAGATCATGACCCAACACAGCTGGGGAGAAGCGCCTGGAGGAGGGCAGAGGGTGGGAGAGGCATGAGGGCCTGACTACAGGGATCTTGTGACTAGAGAAAGGGAGCAAAGACACAGAGAAGGATGAGCCAGCTCTGCTAGTTCAAAGGGTGGTCCTGATGGTCCATTGGGTCCATTTGTATTACAGCTGTTTATCTGCCTGCCTGTCCTAGCCAAATCAGGGTACAGGAGAAGGGGTCCAAAGTGTGAACCTGGTCTGCCTCTCCGGGGACCTACCGGGGCCAGGATGGGACCTCCTCATTAACTGAGTTCTTCTAATTAAGTGCTAATTAGCCATGATTTGTACCCTTGCCAGGGGTGTCCTGAGGCCACGCCTGCCCTTCAGTGGGTAGCAGGGGCCTGGCTGGGAGCCCCCTTTCCCCGCATCCATGCAGCTACAGTGGCCAACGGTGGAGCGCGGATACGCGCACCAGGGATGCTGCACAGCGCGCGCTGCGCTCGGCACCAGGCGGCCCGGGACGCACACAGGGC